ACTGCCGTGCTTTCATGTAAAAAATATTTCTTATTAGTTATGGAATTTATTTTGGTATAAAGCGAGACACAGATCTGTTTTTATTCTTTTCCCCAAAAGGGCAATTAGTAATCCTAATACCTTTTCCCACTTAATTTATGTATCACTTTTATCATATACTAAATTATTCTTTTTCTTCGAGCATCTCTGAAAAATACTCTAGTTCATAATTAACTTGTGTCTGATTTATGACAAAACCACCCCATTCTCATCATTATGGCTTTATAATAGGATCAAGTAATATATAAGACCTCTATGAAGCCCTGTTATACACCTACTGCTCTTAAACTAAGAACTTTAAATATATTAGCATTTAATCCTCACAAAAAACTATTTGTAGTAGAAATTACTATCCTTGTATTACAGATGGGGAAACTGAGGCAAAGAGATTTAAAGATACTTACTGCGTCAAGGTGCCAGTAAGTTGCATTCCCAGATACTCGGGGTCCAGGCCTCCCCGTCCTCACTATCGTGCACTGCTGCCCAGCAGGGTTCTGGAATGTGTGATCCAATAGTTTAAGTCCTGCCTTAATTACCATGCATGTTTATGATATGTTACACATTTCTCTTCCCAGATCTTTTTTTGGATATTTACATGCATGTTTTAGTTATAATATAAAAATATGTAAGTTTAAAACTTTTAAGTGGTTTTATTGCCCACTGCCAGGTTTTTTAAAACCACAACTTTCAAATGTTCACTTCCTTACTTTGAGTCATTTTCCATTAGTTTATTTTAAAAGGTAATGTTTTCAAGAAGGATATGTGGCTGATGGCAATCTGCTTGCCCTGTCATGCCTGAGACGATATTGCTGTTAGTTTACTCATGAATAATAACTTATTTGGATATAGAAAATTAGCACCCATGCCTTTGTCTTTTATAAAAAAGTCAAAAATAAAATTTTATGGAATTTAATTAATTGTACTCTGGTATTTGAGATAATATAGGGAAATTTTGTTCTATTAATTACTTTTTGCTTATTTTCTGCAAAGATACTTGTAAAATTATTTTCATATTTTTATTAATTGTGTTAAAAATCGAAATTTCAACTAGTATGTATCTAGAGTTTTTTTCCCTTTATGTCCAATAAAGCTCTCTGGCAAACTCAAATCTTTTTCTTTTTGGCTCAGAGAGCTATCATTATTATTATCAAATTGATTTTTGTTTCTTTTCTTCCAGCTCGTTGTGTCCTTCCCAAGTCCTGTTATAGTTAATGTTGGGTTTCTCTGTCTCCACATTTATCTCCGTCATTTATTTCATCCTTTTTCTGGCAATGTCATTATCCTTTGATCACTTTCTTCTTATCTCATTTAGTCAACATGTGTTTATTAAGGACCTGCCCTGGATCAGGTACCGCAGCAGGCACTGGGAACATAGGGATGGATGTCTCAGGCACAGAGCTGCCTTCGCAGAACTGATCGAACAAGGCAGAGAGACAGGGACCCAGGATGTCAGGAGAGCCCTGCTGGAGGGCGTTTCTTAAACTGGGTTGTGTTGGTCACCAACACAATGGTCTCGCACGTCTGAATCCACTGTTCTGTCTCTAGTTTGTGCAGCTGGACCCGGGCTCCTTTCCAGATCTGGCTCCCTGCAAGGGTCCTGCAGCCCGCCCCCTGCCAATTCCTTGTGTTCGTGTTTCCTGTTACACCAGCTGGCGTACTTTCTGTTTTTCTGATTGGATCCTGAAATACGCCTGTCTTCCGTTGCACTGGTTCGGTTTTCTGCAGTATTCAATATGCTGTTTACTGTCTTCTGTGTGTATGTGTATATATATACTTCTCATTCAGCAGTTATAATTTTTTTCCTTCATGGTGGCAGTTTCTTGATTTCAGATGTTATCCTATTTATAATTCCCTACTCTAGATTCTCAGTTGCTATTTCCTTTTGACTTTAAAGAACTTAAATTAGAAATTATCCAAAAAATGCCTCTTGCTTCTTGCCTTTTTAGAGGAAGAAACAAATCTATTTTCGGTTCTATAGTTTGCTCCCTTATTTTTGTAGTATAATTCTTTTTTTATGGCTGGGGGATGTTTTTTCCCTACTATTAGAAGTTGGATCAGTTCCTGTCTGAATCTTTGAAGCCTCAGAACTAACATAGTTCCAAATGGTCAATTCATTAGTCTGAGTCATTTTCCACTAGTTTGGAAAATGGACATCAGGTGATCTCCTACTTTTAGATTATGAATTCAGAAGATAATGAGTTTGGGTGGGTTGTGGGGAGAATCATAGGTAGAGCTAGAAGCATTTAAAACCGAGTGTTTAAGAAGTTTATTTCCATAATTTTTAGTATATTCAGTAGCTAACTGGAATTTGTCTTGTACGTTTATGCTCCTTAGGGCTCAGGAGTTTGCCCTCCTTAGGAGTCCGCGTCCTGGCACGAGTATCAGGTGTAGCCAGGACTCGGTGACACCTGGGTTTGTCACTTGTTGTAGTATCTGGTCACCTGCTTGCCACCACTCTTGGATCCACATATGTGACGCTGCGGTTGTTCTCCACCCCCCATTCGTCTGTGATCTTTTTATTTCCACATGGGGGGGTGGAATGTGCTTCTTGCTGGGACTCTTGCAGCGATGGCGCATTCCAGCTGGGAAAAGCAACAGGTTGGGCTGCTCCTTTCTTCGATCTGATCCTGTCTGTGTGAGATGCGCTTGCAGATTTCTCGATGTGTCGTGCTGATAGACAGCACCCTGTCGTAGGTCCCAGTGCCAATATAGGGATTTCTATATACGCGCAGACAGAGCTAGCAAAGAAAGGAAATAGAAGCAGATGACAAACAGAAATATATGTATACACACACACACACACACACACACACACACACACAAATATATATATTTACTTACCTGTTTTACTGAGACGCTGGGAAAATGACTTCACTCTCATCTTTGCACTTGCTAAGTAGTTGATGTAGTAAATCCTGGAAATAACTATAAACTAAGCATTTGTTACCTTTCCATTTCTGTTGAGCAAAGAAAGGAAATAGAAGTAGAAGATAAGTAGAAATTTCCGCTCTTGGTCTTTCATGCTTCATCTGGTTCGATACGGATTATTTGGTGTTGTCAAAATGACAATCTTCATTTAGCAGCACTGAGCGGAACTTCCTGTAGAAAATGAAGCCATCAAGGCAAAGAAAAAAGAAGGCAAAAAAATAAATAAATAAAATAAGCCACAAACCCCAACTCCTTCCAGTATTAGCAAATTGGTATCTCATGTGTCGGAGTCACTCTCACGCTATGGTAGACTAATTTTAATATAGTTCTGATGAATAACAGAGTCATAAAGTCCCAAATCTTTGGGAGTGACCCAGAGATGCCTTGTGGGACAGCAGAGGAGAGTTTGTGGCTGAATTAGGTGGGAAATGTGAGATTTTTTTCATGCTGGGTTTCCTTACAGTACCTTAGTCACAGTTTAGTAAGTTATGTGACCTTCGTGCCACTTGGCGTTAGAAGTTCTGAATCATGAGGGCTGTGGCAATTTAGGGATCTCGGGTAGAAGGAAGCTAGGTTTACATCTCGGGGGACAGCAGAGAAATGAGAGAATGGATCCTGTCGCCCACCTGCAGTCCAAATCCTTTTAAGCTCTTTCGCTTTATGTATACTCACGAAGACCTCCGAATGCATCGCACGGCTACTGACAAAAGACATCGGTCGCCTCTGGGAGGGAACAACATTAAAAGTAAAATTCAGAGGAAAGTAAATACTTGGATTGCTGTGCTTGTTATTCATCGAGTGTTTTTGACTTGCTAAAAGCAACTTTAATGTATTTATACAATTTATAAAGACGTTAACTGATTCTGGAGCTCTGCTCTTTACAGGGGACATATTTCATGTGATTGTAAGCACTGAAGAAAATTAAATCAATAAATTCCCAGCCTGTAATTTGAGATACTCAATTTGAAGAAAAATACATTGTCAGGGAGGGAGGGAGAAATCTGTTACGTTGAGGAAGACTTGTAAACAACCCGTCTTTGCTCTGCTGCCCTGTGCCTTCAAAGTGACACTCAGAATTACCCTCGTGCTGCAAGATTATCAAAGCGTTATGACACCTCCAAAGTAGCAAAGGCCAGCTCCCAGCGTTTTTTTTTTTTTTTTTAAAGAAGCATATGCACGAGTAGAAAGCAATCCAAGTGAGTTTTTCTCTCTCATTTTCGGAACTGTCCCTGTGTGTCCTTCTCCCTAGCAGTCAGTCTGTGTGTCTGCAGGCTTAGTGGATTTTTCCCCATCACTGGCACGGAGGCTCTCTGACCACTGGCAGACCAATTAACCTCTCCGAGTGTCACCCTTCCATGTGTAAAAGGTTAATAGTGCAGCTTGTTTGCAGAGTGCCTTGAGCCTTCCGTGAAGGACACTACCCTTATGCCCAGCATTGCTGTTTGACTGGAGGACGTTTTGTTTTTTAATTATATGTTTGGTTGGATAGGTTATAGATTTTGTTGTGGGTGAATGTTGCCCCTTCTCCCCGGTTACAAATAAAAAGACTAATAGGTAATCTAACTGTATTACCATCTTCTAGAGCCCCCTAGAGGGTTAAGGGAATGGCAGAGGTTACAGATTAATAAAAAAAAAAAAAAAATCATGGGCATCTCAACTGCATAATAGCTGTAGATGACAATTTATTAGGCCATGTGTTTCATCAGATGCACAGCAGATAACACTGCAAAGACTCATGAAATAAAGAGGTGTTCTGGGTTTTTTTTTTTTTTCCGGCTTTCCCAGTTAATTCTTTCTTCTTCATGTCAATATAGAACGTTAGGAACTGTTCTGTCGAGGTTATTTCAAAAGTGTTCATGGATATTTGGGAAAAAATGATTCTCGTATTCTGCAACTCCTGAAATAAGCCACTTATTTGTGTGTATCTAGGTTGTGACATTGAGCTCACTGATTTATTGTACTCGCACCAAACGTGATTAACCCTGGCCTTGGAGCAATGCCTGCATGTCACTTATCTCGTACTTCTTTTGCAGATTTACGGAAAAACTTTGAACAGGACCCACAAGGACGAGAGGTCCCCATTGAAGGCATGATCGTGTTGCATTGCCGCCCTCCGGAGGGAGTCCCTGCGGCAGAGGTAAGACAGAGGTTGGCACCACCAGTTGTCACAGTGAGGAACCAGCCCTGTTCCTAAGAGGGAGGGCGTGGTCCAGCATGGCCACGAGGAAAGGAAAAGAGACGATGTCTAGGATGCTTGCTGCCTGCACCCAGTTGCGAAAGATAGTGAAAAAATTGTGCAGGAGATAGGCTGGAAGAGGAACTTGTCTCCCGTCTACTTCCTTGTCGACATAGAGCCCTAGCTAGGCAGCCTGGTAGCAAAGGATCTGCGTTCTTACTGCTGGTGACCTCGGATCACACAGGCGTCATTCTGTCTGTCTTCGGTCGGGGCACTCTGATATGCACATTGGCTTGTGGATCGCACCTGAGCTTTCACAGGCCCGGGTGCGTAGAAGAGCATGCAGAGAAAGGAGGTCACAAGCCCATAGCGTTGCGTTTCATTGGAGTTTGCTCCTTCTACGCTTGTTCCTGGAACAAATATTCACTGCGCGTGTGCTATGTTTTAGTCACAAGGCTGGCATTGGGGATATGAAGTGAGATGATGCCACAGGTCTCTGATCTGTTATCCTTCCTTCACAGTGGGGCGTCTAGAATCCACTACGTCGTTTGCTTCTTGAACGTGGTCTGGGACTTCTTACGTGCTATTAGAATAAAACTGTCACTGGTAACATACGGTGGTAGTAAGGAAGGCTTTCTAAATCATTTAATCACGATGAAAAGATGGTCTGATAGACTAGAAATACAGTTATTGGAGAAAAAATATTAAGTATAAGGCATGCTTAGTAGAATGATAAATTATAAATTCACCAACGTAGGCCTGAATTTAGCTGTGGATCGTCCAGTTTTGGCTCTTCTGTGGGAAGCTAGAAAACTGGCTTTGGAACTACTATTTATTCACTGAGAAGGAGAGATACTGGAAAAAAAAAAAAAAAGAACAAAACAAACAGAAGCCTGTGCCTTGCGTTTTAGCAAAATGGGGATTTTGTAATTGGAAGGACAGAGGAGGAGAGGAAATGAAGGGGAATGGAAAAACACACACACTTGCACATTTGGACAGAAAGCATGCTGGGTGGACACTATTCAAAGCTCAGATGGTTCATAGAAGTGAAGTAAACGGACTTGAAAATTAAAGTGAATGCTCTATGAGTGGTATGAAATGATTAGAAAGGAAAATGCTTATTTTTAAATTTGTATTTAATGTCGAACAAAAAGATATTGATCTTCCTTTGCTGCCTTCTGGTTCCCTACCAAGAGTATGCCCTTGTTTCCTGAGCAGGGCGTTCGGTGCTTGAGGGAATGTGCTAATCTCATTCACAAGGTCCCACTTGCTGCTGAGAGCCTCACTTGGTATCTGCAGTTCTTTTTTTACGTTGTTGTTTATTTTTTTCCTTCTAGGGACAGGGTATTGCTCTGTCGCCCAGGCTGGAGTGCAGTGGCCTGACCATAGCTCACTGCAGCCTCGAACTCCTGGGCCCAAGTGATCCTCCCACCTCAGCCTCCTGAGTAGCTGGGATTACAGGCGTGTACCATCACGCCTGGCTTATTTTTAAGTTTTTTTTTTGTAGAAGTGGGGTCTTGCTATGTTGCCCAGGCTGGTCTTGAACTCCCAGCCTCAAGCAATCCTCCCACCCCTGCCTCCCAATATCTACAGTTATTTACATTCACTGCCCATCTGTCAAAAGTTCCAATTTACAAATGTTTCATGCATAAAAATGTCTAGCCTCTGCCATACAACCGTGTGAAACAGTCCCCTGGTATTCCCATGTTCCCTTCTAATTCCGTGCTGGGTCACCACAGTCAACTTGAGCAGCAGTAGAGAGGGGTCGAGTGGGAAAGAAGTTAATGTTTTCATTAGTGATCTGTCTATAGAAACCTAGCATTTGTCTATTAATCATTTTTTACAGATTGAAGAGAATTTAGATGTTTGCCAGGCACGACCTTTGCATTTTAGAAGCAAGAAAACTGGTGCTCAGACCAGTGACCTACCAAAGATCTTGCAGCCATTTAAGGGCTCTGTTCAGAATCCTTCAAAGCACTCAGGGTAGAAATCCGTGTTCATTTAGTGCCTTATAATACCCAACACAATATGGGCTGCTGTTCCATCATCTTCCACTATTCTACACCTGACCTAGCTATAGCCACACTGTCCTCCTCACTCTTTCTCAGATGCACCAGCCATGCTCCTACCTCAGGGCCTTTGCATGTGCTGGCCTCTCTGCTGGGACACTCTCCTCCAGCTGTTCCAATGCTTTGTCTCTTTTTCCTTCAGGTTTTACTCCCATATCACTTGCTCAGGGAGGCCTGCTCTGGACACTCTGTTGAAAATGTCTCCTCCCCGCTCCATGATGTTTCCCTGATTTATATTTTCTTATCTGCTATCACAAGCATTCTGTATTAACTTTGCTTATTTTCTCTCTACCCTACCGGAATTTAAGTTCCATGAGGGAAATTTTTGTTTCTTCTTTTTCATCGCCGTATCCCCGGAACACAAAACAGGGTTTCTCATGAGTACCATCAGAAAGATGAAAGATAACAAGGGTTGGTGAGGACGTGAAGGAAAGAAAACCACGTGCACTGTTGATGGGAATGTAAATGAGTGTGGCCATTGTGGAGGACAGCACGGAGGTGCCTCAAAAAACTAAAAACAGAACCACCACACAGCCCAGCAGTTCCACTCCTGGGCATGTAGTCAAAGGAGATGAAATCGGTGTATCGAAGAGATATCTACATTCCCTTGTTGATTGCAGCGTTACCCACAATAGCCAAGACATGAACTCGGCCTAAGTGTTTATCGTGGGGTAAACGGATGAGGAAAATGTGATGTGTGCACACAGTGGAATGCTGTGCAGGAAACCCTGTCACTGGGGACAACAGGGGTAAGTCTGGAGGACATTATGTCAAGAGAAATGAGCCAGGCACGGAAAGACAAATGTGACATGACCCCACTTACATGCAGAATCTAAAAACGTGGAGCTCATAGAGTGACGAATAGAGTGGGGGTTACCAAGCATCGAGCGGGGCCGGTGAGGCGAGATTGGCAAGATGTTGGTCTTCAAAGGGTACAAATCTTCAGTAAGGTGGGAGGAATATGTTTAACGCTCTGTCGTATAACATGGTGACTGTAGTTAATAACAATGTATTGTAGTCTTGAAAATTGCTAAGAAGAGTGGTTGATTTTAAGTGTTCTCCCCACCAAAAAAACTCTACATATGTGAGGCAAAGGCGTGTATTAATTAGCTCGATGTAGCCAATGCAGTGTGTACATGTTTCAAAACAACGTGTTGTTTGTGATAAATACATATAACTTTTGTCGATCTAAAAAATTAATTTAAAAAAGCAAACTATGTTTCTCACACCCAGGTACTCTGTAAGTATTTGTTGAATATGAATGAAACTAGTTTCTGGACAATCTTGATGAATATTTGAGGTTATGCCAGGATTAGCCGCAGTGTGAAATCCACTGGATTTTTTTTCCCCCTCCCATTACTGGGTGCTAGCAAGGGAGGTAAACATTCCCCAACTGCTTCTTCGAAAACGTAAATTAAAAAAGGAAAGAACAAAAGAGAGTGGAATAAAGGATGTACCATCTGGTGAGGTAACAGCCAAAAGCAAAAATCTACTTTGGAGCGTGCTGGTCTGCGTACAAACTCACCCTCACCCCCTACACACACACACAGAAGCATCTTGCAAGAAAACGCATGGGATTTGTGAATTACTGGGACTCTGAGTCTGCTCAGGACAGTGCTTGGTGGAGGCTCTTCCCGTGGGAAAACGGGCTGGCGTCTGGGAAGAAAGTAGCATACCTGTCTGTTCAGATATTTGGAGAGGCTGAACTTCGCACGTCCCTGCATCTTCCTTGCCCTGACGTTCTATTCCTGAAGGTAAATGAGTTCTGCTTATTGGCTCAGTTCCTTTCCTTTCCTCATTTGCTTCCTCATGGTGCTTTTCTGCTGAAACCACAAGGACAGAGCAGGATGTAAAAAACCTTCAGTAGTGGCGCCATCCAGCGTCAGCGAAAAAATACTGGGGAGAGCTGCAGACCAGGGAAGGCGGGAACACAGTGTAGACGTATCAGAAAGTCAGTTTTCTAGTACCTACCGTCCTGACACGTTTCTAAACTGTAGGTGTTCACTGTCTTCATCGGTTTCCCAGGACTTGCCGTAACAGATTGCCACCAACGCGGAGGCTTAAAACAACAGAGGTTTAGTCTCTCGTAGTTCTGGAGGCTGGAAGTCCGAAATGAAGGTGTTAGGGGGGTGACTTCCTTTGGGGGCTCTGAAGGAGCATCTGTACCAGGCCTGTCTCCAGCTCCTGCTGGTTACTGGTGATCCTGGTGTCATTGGCTTGTGGACACATCACTCCAGTCTCTGTGTCCATCGCATCTTCACGTGGCATTGTCCTCTCTGTGTCTCTGTGTGTCTGAATGTCCCTCTTACGGAAAGGACACCAGCCAGTGGATTATGGCCAACTCTAGTCCAGTGTGGCCTCATCTTAACACTCTGGGTCGGGTCCCAGCACATCTGCAAAGACCCAATGTCCAAATAAGGTCACACTCCCAGGTTCCTGGTGAACATGAGTTTTGAGGGCTGCTGTGCAGCTCCGTTCACTTCCCGTTCTACCTTTGGCCTCGTATCACGTTTCGCATCTTAATACCGTACATGTTTTTAGGAATACACGTCAGAGCCAGGCCAGCTGAAATGAAATAGAGTTTTATTCCAAGGAGCAGCCGGGGCTGTAGGATGGTTTAAGACAGAAATTCCGAGCTGAGAAGGGGCAAACGCTTTTATAAATTTTTAGTTTAAAATTTTTTTTTAAATTTTGGATTGTAGGTGGAGATGAAGGATGTCTCAGCTACATTGTGGGTTAAACGGGCTACTGTGAGGCCCTAACAGACATTCATGGCGTCATCTTAACGTGGGACAGCGTCCCCAGGAATTTCACTTCATCACGGGGTGGATGCTACCGATACCTGTGCACCCACACTTACGACGCTTGTCCTTTCAGCGATAGCTCGCACGG